TGTCCCACCCCAGCCATGTCCCACCCCAGCCGTGTCCCACCCCAGCCATGTCCCACCCAAGGCACACGACCCCCTCAGCTGAGGCCTGGGGATGTTCTCAGTGCCAGCTGCAGCCCCCCACCCTCCCACTGCCGTCCCCTGGAGCGTGGCCGGGGTCCCCATGCCCGTGTCCCCCCAGGTGTGGTCCCACTACGAGGAGACGCCGGTGGAAGAGGTGGTGCCGGTGCTGGAGGAGAAGGAGCGCGCGGCCAACTACAAACCCGTGTTTGTCACCGAGATCACCGACGACCTCCACTTCTACGTGCAGGACGTGGAGACGGGTACGGGGGGACACCTGGACCCCCCCCAGCACCCGGGGGCTCCCCCAGACCCGGCACGGCGGGGGCCAGCGGGACGGGATGGGGGTTTGTGGCTTTGGTGGGTAACGCCCAAATCCGGGTGTCCGGGGGAGGTCACCCCTCCACCCCCCAGGGTGGGGGTCCCTGGTTGGGATCCGTGTTCGGGGTCCAGAGGTTTGGGTCTTGGGGCAGGGGCTGGGGCTGAGCTCCAGGTTTGGGATTTACCCCTGGAGTCGTCGTTGGGGTTCAGGCTCCGGGGCCGCGCCGGGGGGCGGGGCTGGGGTCAGCTTTGGGACGGGACCGGGGGTTTATCCGGGATCGGGACCCCGCAGGCGCCCAGCTGGAGAAGCTGATGGAGAACATGCGCGCCGAGGTGGGCACCCACCCGCCCGTGGAGGGCTCCTTCGCCCCGCGCCGCGGCGACTTCTGCATCGCCAAGTTTGTCGACGGGGAATGGTGAGGAGGGCACGGGGCTGGGCCAGGGCAGCAGAGGGGCGTGGGCTGAGCACCAAACCCCAAATCGCACCCTGCAGGTACCGCGCCCGCGTGGAGAAGGTGGAGTCGGGTGGGAAAGTGCACATCTTCTACATTGACTACGGCAACGTGAGTGGCACCGGGAAACTGGGAGGGAAACAGCCTTCCATCCGTGGGTCCATTTATCCATCCATGGATCCATCTGTCCAT